ATTCATATTACAATATCAAGAAGCAATTGTCCTCTAAATATATTAGAATGATATCAACAAGTGATTGTCCTCTAAATATTCATATTACAATGATATCAACAGGCAATTGTAGTTTAAATATAGGAAATTAATTGAAAAATAGTAATAATATTATCAGGATTTCTTTGTCTTTTTTTGTAGCATAGATAATTGAAATTTTGACTAGTATATCTTTCATATTAATTTTAGTTGCTTTCTATTACAATTATTCACACTGGCCATCAGTAGACAATTCAATTGGAAATAAAGAATAAGCTCTTGTCAAAACTCAAACTTTCTTTCCTTTGTTTTTGAAAAATCTAGTTAACAAAATAGAAACTAGTTTATAAAGTCATCATATGTTTTTCTTTTAAGATTTTTTAAAAAAAAGAATAAAAATAATAAAATATAGTCAATGTCTTCATAAAAATAACAATGTTAGTAATTAGTGAATGATGGATTTTTATCACTTTATAAATATGTTGGTTAGATAGATTTTGTGGAGTATTCCAGATATAATTTGGATGTAAATAACAATACAATATAAATATCTAAATTCATTTGCATCAGTAGAGATCATATATTGAATGCAAAAAAAAATATGATTGGTCCTGCTTTGTATAGACAAAACCTGATTGATGCTTTTTCAAATGCTTAACAGTTAATACTTATGGTGATTTTCTAAGCATAGCTTAGATGTGACACAAGGCCGAAAGTATCTGGGCACCCACTGAGGATTGAACTCACTAAACTGTTATAATTGTTCTAGCAAGACAAGCTTGCTAACCATTACACCACATCGAGATGCCCAATCTGTTAATCCTTATGAATGGTAAATATCCATTCTACGTTGTCATTTAGAAGGTTCCTTTAAGATAATAAAATCCATTTCAATAACAGAATGCGGATCATCAAAGCACAATTTGTAACTCAATATTGATGTAATTATGATAAATCTGATGACATTTGCCAAGGTGATATATAAAAATCATACATTGCAAGTCATTTGGTTATCGGGCTATTCCAGTAAGCTGTTATTTTTTTTTATCCTTACATCCCAAACAAGACATTAAAAGCCACTAGGATGCAAGGGGTTACTGAGAGTGAAAGTAACAGAAGACAATAAAAAAAAACAGGATTCAAGGAGACAGAAGATTGGCATTGCATTTAAATTTTTGAAGATCGTAACTGACAGTAAAGCAGAAAGACGGAAAAGAGTTCCACAAGCAAGAAATGTCAAAGAAACAATTAGCATAGAACTTATGGTTGCAACTAGTAACAGTGAAATTATAAGACTAGCTACCAATCTAGTACTGTGCTTAAATTTTTGAAGTCAACAAAGAAAGCTCATCAGAACATTTACAATGAAAACCAGTGAGTTTAATCTTCAACTAGATACTCAACAATTATAACCTTGTAGAAAATTGATTATCTTAGTATATAATATACAATTATTTTTTGTCTGTAAAGTAACTTTTTGTAATATTAAGGTTATCTCCCTTGTTCTGGTAATACCAGGACCCAGATGCTGAGAAGAGCAATTTTATAAAGAACAACAATAATAAATGGGGAAAATATATTTGAAATACTGTCATTCTTGGTGCTATGGGCAAACTCGTATCTACATAACTGTAATTGTTAAGTAAATAGTTAAATAAAAGTTCAAATGACTTCCAATTTTAAGTTTTGCAGAGATGCCATCCTGTTCATTAGGGTAAGATAAATCTATTAAATTCATTACCAGATATCACATTTATGCTTTATTTTAAATACATTACAGGAAAATTTTAAATGTGTTATATATTTGTTGTGTAATAATTATTCATTTCTCACAAACAACAAAACAACTATGAAAAATAGTTATTTGGTGATGATATGCATTTGGGGATGAATAACTTAAAAAAAAACAATTACTCTATTTTTAAATAAACCTTTTTTTTAATTTAAAAACACATTTGACTTTGTAGTGGCAAAAGAAATTAAACCCAAATAGAGTTTTTTGTGCTTACAGAATTATACATATAGTGACTGTGACATTTTTGCCTTCAGAGTCCTTTAAAAATGACAGGCTTCAACAATTTCTTCTATGAGGGAATGAAACTATCTTTCAGTTGTAATCAGTTTCTTGGCAAACTTGTACCTTCATGCTCACAAAAAAATGGAGTGTCAAAAGAATGGTTTTTCCCTTGACACCACTATTATTTTAACTATTTTCACCTCTTGATTTTAAAAAGCAATGATTAGAATTGGAATAAAACCTAAACATATGAAACAAAGTTTATACATTTTCTTTGTTCTTGAGAATTGACAACAAAAATAATAAACACTATTTATTTATTTATTAGCTTGTTTATTTAAACTATTATATTGTTTATTGGAATGGTTGGCAAAACACTGGATAATTGTCAATTGATTCAAACTTTATAAACTGGTAAATAATAAGGATTTCCTTATAGTTGGTTTACATATTTTAATAATTTAGTAAATGTTTATTTATAAATTGGTAAATGATAAGTATTGCATTGCATTAGTTTTAATTGTATTAGTTTTCAGAATGTTGAAAATATAAAATTATTATTGTAAATAAGCAATCTAATAAATAAATAGTGTTTTTAATATTTGTTGTAAATGCTCAAGAACAAAAAAAATGTATAAATTCACATTAATCATATGTTTAGGTTTTATTACAATTCCAATCATTGCTTTTTAAAATAATAAACCCAGGAATGAAAGTAGTTAAAATAATAGCAGTGTTAAGGAAAAAAATCTTTTTTTTTTTTTTTTTTTTTTTTTTTTTTGGTACTCTGTTCTTTTGTGGGCAACAAACGTCCAAGATTGTCATCTTTTTTTTTTTATAAAATTTAGCAGTACTCTTTCTTTTTTTTAGTTTCAAATTAATCTTTTTTTCACTTTTTTGTTTCTTTGGAATGTTAAAATGGTCAATTATTTTGTGCTGTCCATCAGAATGACAATTTGGAAGAAAAGTGGGAATTATTGTTTTTTTTTATCATACATTGTAATTCTATGTGTGTAAACTTAAAATTTGATTAGCTTTGGGAGTCTTTCTAGAAAAATATAAATCTGGTCAAGTTGTTAAATTATGCATTATTTTTTTTATTTTTAAAAATAATTGGATAAATTTAATTAGCTAATGAAAATTTTTTAGTATACATTTTTTAAAAAAATCTTATTTTATTACTGATTAATCAAGAGTGTCAGATAATGCTTTTTCTTAAACACAATTTTCTTCCTCTTTGTTTTCATGTCTAATGAATGATAAGCTTACCAGCTACAACTAAGCACAAATGGATGTAAAATTATAACGCCTCTTTTGTTGTCAAAACATAAAATTGTATAACAATAACTGTTTCTTTTTTAACTTGGTTCATTTTTCTTACAATTTCATACATATCTACATGTATGTAGAGAAATTTACTTCTGTTTACTGTTTTTATTCAGAACAGATTTAAAATTGAGTTTATTTCATAACTGTATCTATCTGTTCTATCAATTTTAATTTTGAAATTTCAAATATATAGATATGGATTTTAAGCAGCTTTTAATTTATCATCAAATTATCTGATGCTAATTTAAATTGATTCTTAATTTTAATATGATCATAAGTTTTAAAGATCTTTATGAATAAATTTCATATCTGATTTGGTTAATTAATTTAATTGCTTTCCTCCAATAATATTAAAAAATAAATTATTTTCCTAATTATTTTTCCAATAATGTGGTATTTTATGATGGAAAAAAAATTTAAAGTGTTGTATTAAATTGTTTCACATTCTTGGTTTAAAATATTTGCTAAATACTTAAATTTATATTTTTAATTAAAAAAAAATTACTTTTATTAATCTGAATTTTTTAAATTTTGAAAAAATGTTATATTGATTTTCCTCACTTAGTTACTTTCATTGTGTTTCAGATTGAGTTTTCTTCATTTTTGTCTCTTTGATTTATACAGTTGCTGTAAAATTATATGCACACACACACACACACACACACACAAAGGTTGCTGAAAAGTTCTTGGCTTAACCCACTTTCTGAAATCTGGCCAAATAAACAAACATCCAATTTTTGGAGGAAAGGGCTTCTTGGTCAGGCTGATAACTTTTTAACATCTCTTGTGTGTATGTATTTATTTATATACAGATTTCGTCAGAAATACTGCCCACATAATGGTAAGACATTAGCTAGGTGAAGACACCATTGCCAGTAATGTTGTACAATGGGGGTATTTCTGCTGCACCATATATATATATATATATATATATATATATATATATATATATATAAAAAAAAACATTCCAACAGCTAAAATATTTTCAGCTGTCTACCTGTCAGTATTTTGTTATATTTGCAAATATTGTAGTTTTTTAGGGTTTTTTTTTTAATTATTTTTGCCTGTATTTTTTAATATTTCAATAAAAACATTAGAAAACTGCAAAAAAAAGTTGTTGTTTTTTTTATCTTTATAGATATTTTGTAATCTTAATTTTTTTTTACCTTTCTTGTATCCAGGTATGATTTTTTTCTCTTTTTCTGTTTTGTTTTTTATTTCAGTCTTTTAAGTGAAAAATATTAATTTTCTTTTCTTTTTGTGTGTTTCCTCTATTTTATCAATATGTGATGTCATGTTGGTGAACTCTCTCAGCCACTGCAGGGCAATTTTTACTTACACTAATTTCATAATCATATATGAATGAATAGACTTGACTCACTATTTTATTCATTGCCAAAGTAAGTAGACAAAAAATATTTCAAATTTCCTCAGAAATCTATCCACAAAGTCTTTTTATACACTAGGATGTTGTTTAAACTACATTTACCTGCAATAGCCATAAATATCAACACCTTTAGGGAAAATGTGATCAAGATCTTGTGACCACATCTGGCACATGAAGGATTTTTATCCAGCCTACCAACTTAACTGTAACTCATTCACCCTTTCGTATTTTTTCTATTTAAACTTACAGCCACGTCATGTTGAAACACTGGTTTCTATATGATCACCAAAGTTAAGTAATCTTGAGTCTAATCAGTACCTAGATGGGTGACTGCTTCGGAATACCAGGTGCTGTAAGTTTGGATGTGCAGGTGATGTAATAGATAATGACTTGGAATTGTTAATCGGAGAGCCAAGTTGTGTTCGTTATATTCACTTACACTCAAATACCCTTGGAAAAGATATGAATCCACCTCTTTTCCCCTCAGTTATGGGTTAATTAGTAAGATTTGTACCACTAAATCATTACAAATTCTTACAATCTAAAACTATTTTCTGGCTTTAAATAACTTGCAAAAGGTTGATAAACTGTAGAAAATGAATGACTCAATCTTTCTATTTAGTTTGCTATGGCAATAAAACATTAATTGTATGCAGTGGTTTGTATGTTAATTCTTACTCTCTTGTTTGAGGAAAACTCCAACACATCAAATTTTGTTTTAGTGTTGATAAAATATCAACATTAAATAGTTCCACAACAATATATTTCAACAAATGTTAAAATTTCAATTTTTGAGTATTCAATAGACCCCAGATTCAGCCTTGCACAAGGTTTTCATTACGACTGACAGAGCTGTGAAATTAATGCAGGAAAGTGAAACTTTAATTTTGAAAGGGCATGTATATTTAGAGAAGATCTATAGTATAGTTCCAATACCAACAAAGAAATTATGATAGAAAAGTTTACGATGCTAAGCAGTTAAGTATACAGCTGTATTTCAAGAATTTCACGTCAACTGCAGTGGATGATAAACCTTGACTTTTGACATCAATGTTATAGACAAGCGTATGGTTGCAAGAAAGAAATACGACAACAGCAGAAATAGATTTACATGATTTATTTCAATATGAACGTGTGGTTTTGGGACAGCTACCTTGTGGTATAGTTCATAGGCCAGCTGAAGATCTGGGTTGATCTCTCATAGTAGTTCTCGCTGGTTGGCGTGGCGCTACCGCTGCTGGCTGCTTGACCACTCAGCCTGACCATGACAGGTCTCTTCCCTGGCCTCTTGTTGACTGCTGTTGTACTTCCCCGTGTGACCCCTTTTATGGCGTTTTTTTATGGCTTAACAGGCTCGAAAAACGACGTGAGTATAATTAGGAGGGAAGTATTTTTATTGGTCGAAAAATAGAAACACTTTAAAATATTATTTTATTTTTTTGACCAGAACTCGTGTGTCGAGAATATGCGTAAACGCGTAAATATGGTCATTTTGTGACAGGGCCTTGTCCCATTCACATCCGGCTCTCGCTCTTGAGTATCTTTTAGCCTGCAAATCAGCCAAGATATGTCTTATTTTATTTTATAACATCAAGGTAGGCAGATATTTGTGGGTTTGGGAATACTCCAAATTTGTTTTCAATATAGCTGGAATGCTTCAGTAATTGAATGATATTAGAAGTCATAGCATCAAGGTAATATCCAGCAACTTGATTCTGAATTATCTTTTTAATCATCAAAAACAGATTTTGTATCACACATGAATCTTCTAGTCCAGTCTGTATTAAAGAAGTAATCAGCAAACATGGATAAATGTACCCGCAAATAAGACATAGTGTCAAAAGGATGGTGTTTCCCATGACACTGCTTTTTTAACTACCTTCACTCTTTGGCAATGTTTATTGTTTTAAAAAGTGATGGTTAGAATTGGAATAAAAACTAAACATTTGATGAAAATGAATTTATACATTTTTTTTTTGTTGTTGTTGTTCTTGAGAATTTACAACAAAAATATTAAGTGCTATTTATTTATTAAATTGTTTATTTACAAGAAAAAAAAAAGATTTGCTACTAAATGAATCAGAGATAATTAAGAACTTTTTGAAGGACAAATGATTTCTTGTTATAACATATGCTGAAATTCTTTAGCAAATTCGTTTTAATCTGGTTGCAGCCTATATGGGGTAGAGTATGACAGCTAACCAATGTTGGATTACCGTCCCTGGCTAAAATTACAGGCAGCATGATTTTCCTCTTTGATTTGGAAATGACAACACATGATGACCTAAGAACAGCATAAATGGGTCTAAAAATCCTTCACATGTTGAATTTGTTTCTTTTGAAAATGTTGAATTCATTTACTTTGAAAGTTTTGTGCCTATGCTGTAACAAGTTGTAACTCTACAGGCTGATGATCAAGAGTAACCTTGTCCATTACAATCCTGCAGTACCTCTTCACTACAAAATTCTTGCTTATTATTACAATAAATAAATAATAATAATCATGATGATAATAATCATTTCTTTTTCTTTATTTATTTTCTTTACGGAATTTAAAAGTTGTGTGTTTATGTATATTTTAGGTGGGTTGCATGTTCCCATGTAATCAAAGAAGCATGTAGGTTTCTACTCTGGACCATTTATTTTCTCTCTCTCTCTCTCTATATATATATATATATATATATATATATATAAACTGTAGTGAAACAAAGTTCTCAATGTCTCTTGGGTATGTCCATTTTCTTTTTTGGTCCAGAAGTTAGAATAAGCAACATTATAATGGTTGAACTCAAGTCATCCTCACACAGAGTTGGTTTGGTTTGTTTTATGGTATATCAACCTCAATGATTATTTAATGCCAAATTTTTAGGATAGGTTCATATGAATAGAATATGTATTCTTTGTAAGAAATCAGTTTGTAGATCAGGTTTCGTTAACATATTTTTGTAAAGAGGGTTTTTGTCGAGAGTCAAATCTGTTGCTGGCAATAATTTTTTAATGATGTATTGCTGGTAATAATCATTTATTTATTTTTTTTCATTTATTTATTTGTTTTTTTAAATGTATTGCTGGTAATAGTTTAAATGTATTGCTGGTAATAGTTTAAATGTATTGCTGGTAATAGTTTTTTTTTTTCCAGCCTTGATGATTCCACTGTATAATTTTTTGCATCATGCTTATATATTAGGGTGTTATGAGTTTTTACTTGTCCGGATTAAGTTTAGTAGGTGAAATAGTTTTCTTTCTCTTGTGAATGTTTGGAGGGTTCTATTTCTTGAAGGATTTTTGTACTTTGGATTGGGATTTTCAGAGTTATTTGTTTTGTACTTATAGACTTTTTTCTTTGTTTGAGGTTGACAGGATAGGATTTGCTTTGACTATAAGCGGTATACTGAATACATATGGTTTATGCGTGATATACTAAATTTTAGTAGTTTTATTAGTTTTTTAATTCATTTATTAGAGTTGTAAGTTCTTACTGTGTTGTTCTCTTGTATGTCATTTTGGTGATATTTTAGTAGTATTTGCGTAAGTTAGTTTCAACCTGTTTTCTAGTTTCTTGGAATGAGATGTTTTGTGTGTATTTTATTCTTGCTATTTGCTTTTCGTTTTTCCAGATGTTACACTTTTTAGAATCTGTTGAGTGGTTTTGTTTGCAGTTTAGGCATAAAAGAGGCCTTTCACAAGGTGACTTTTTATGATCAAATTCCCCATATCTTCAACTCTCAAACATTGATCTTGTAGATGGCCAAATTTCTGACATTTGTGACATCTTCAGGGATTAAGGATGTATGCCTCTACCTTGGATATTGTGTATCCTATTTTTATTTGTTTTGGTAGGGTAGGTTTGTTGAATGTCAAAACGTGTGTGTTTGTGTCTATTGATGTGCCATTTCTTTTTATTTGTATTCTGTTGACATCTGTTATGCCTTGTATTTTTAGGGTGTCATCATTTTTAATTTCTTCCAGTGAGCAGTGTGACAGTTCTGGGGATTTTATTACTCCCTTAGATCAATTAAGAAATTGGTGAGAATAAACCTTTACTTTCATGTTGTTTATTTGATTGAATTTTAGTATGTTTTCTGTGTCTTTTTTGGTTTTTACTTGAATTAGAAGTGTGTTATTTTTCTTTCTTTTTTTTTTCTTTTTTTTTACTGACTTTGGTTCTATCATGGATGATATAACCTTTTGTAACTTCACTCTCTAATGATTCTATGATTATGAAAATTAGAAATTGTTTTTTTCCTGATATTTCATTGTCACTTTTTGTTTCAGAGTTTTCATACTGTTTCTTTGATTGTTTATAAGAGTTAGTCATATAATTTTGTTTTTGTATTCATTATCTATGCTCCTCACCTGCCTTGGAGTTCCTTCTTAAGGAACACTATCAAGGTGGAGTAATCCCAATCACCCTGATCTGCTAGGGCTATATAGACAGTATAGTCATGCTGAAAGTGACTATGAACACCCTCATTTCCCCACCATATCTACCCAGGTATAGTATGGTATAAGGATTTGCAGCCATGTTGTAGCCTTTCTCTTTCATCCCAACTATGCCTTGCTACTATGTGACTAGCTGATTGAATTGAATTGGACTATTCCATCTACCTGTCTATTCTAGGTTGGGACTGAAGTGGTGTGTTGTAGAAACTTCTGGCCATTTTATACCAGGTCAGGAGTCACTCAGTCACCAGGACTCTGTCCCTAGGTGTCACAGGTTGCCACCCACGGCAAACAGGTGGCTCCATTCAGGGGGATTTGTAGTTTTGGGGAATCAGTTTTCATAAATGTGTACTTTATATATTACAATTTTATAGGTATTTTTGTATGAACAAGTAGTTTAAGCACAGCATTTTGTGTAAAGAAATAGTTTGTGGATTATGATTTTTGTTGGTAGTTTAAAGTTGTCTATTTTTTTTTCAATAGATTGTTTGTATGGAAAAACTATATTATTTTTCCTGAAGGCACCATCCTAAGTATAAACGGGTAGGTTGTAGGCTTATCATATAAGTTGATGACATGTAGGTGAAATTTTCCTCATACAAATAATTAGTTTCTAATCCATCTTGCTTCTTATGCTATGCCTAGTAATAGTTTAATGTCCTACCCAGAACATAGATGAACTTGTTTTGTGAAAAAAAAAAACATGATTGTAGTTTAGTTTTGTGCCCAGGATGTGGATGCAGTTTAATGTCATGTCAAGGACAAGCATTGATTTGGAACTAACATAAAAATGTTGTACTTACTTCAACAGTAGTTATAATGGTTGAACTTAAGTCAGCCTTGCACTAAGTTGGAACGACCAAAGTAAAATTTGTCTTACTTCAACGGTGGAGTTTTGGCAAATAACATACAA